TTTTTTAGTATAAAAAGTCGTCTTATACGCCGGAAAATACGGTATGTTGTAATTCCCAATGCAACTTCTTGAAAGTCATCAAGTTTTCTAAAACATGAAACTGCACTAGGATTCATATATCTAGAGTCATGAGGGGAAACTATGGATTCTGTGAATCACAATTTGTACTGAAGCTGGATCAATGCAGAGTCAGATAAACATGCCCATAGCCGGATGCTTCCTTCCCTATACATATAGCTTTCCTTTATTTGCCAGTTCATGGGTGTGGGTTTATGGATCAAGTCTCCTTCCTGCCCAATGTAACTTTCATGCCATGGGACCTGAAGGCCCACCATCCCCCCAAGTCATGAATACAAAAACCTAGTCACAATCTGGCCCTGAGACTAGAGTTTCTTTTCTACCTTCACAGTTTGCCTGTTTTAGCAGTTTTTTGTAGAGGCGCGCACGCACACACGCACACACACGCGCCAAATGCTGATCTAATCCATGATAGTAGCACATATTCTTATGTGCATGAGGCAAGCACGATTTGGCCCACTGAAGTAACTCCCATGACACTACTTCTCCTACAGTGTTTTATTAATACCAGAGTTGGTCAAATAATGTAATTCCCATCCTGTAGAAATATCTGAGATTGCCAAATTTTGTGGTGTTATGAATTAGGATGAAAAGTAGAAATTTTGGAGTTTTTTCATTAAATGAAATATTTTGTTTCAGCATTATGAAGCATGTTGTGAAATTTAGATACAACTGTTTCAACTATTTTTTATAAATTGTAGCAAAACATAGAAGTAAAAATAAACATGCAATCTTTTGACTGTAACAAATGAAGAATTTTCATGATTTTGTATAGAAATTTTTGATGAAATCAATACATTCCCTGAAACATTTGCTCTAGTCACAGCAGCATTTTTCAATGGAGAAAAGTGTTCCAATGGAAAATTTCTGACTAGTCCTAATTAACTGAATTGACATAATTGAGTAGTGCATTTTCTCATAATTTGTCACAGATGAAATTGATTTTCAATTCTGTCCATATAAACATTCAGAGCCTCTATGGAAATATATTAAGGACAAATTTAACATGTCCCACATTGTTTCCAACAGCAATGCGCAAAAGAAAAATCACTGCCCAAAACAAGAGGTGAAGATAAATCACTTCAGAATATCTATATCATTGGTTAGAGACTCTCCATCCTCTACGATCTTGGTTGTTTTATTACCTCACATTGTCTATTCATCCATATTATTCCATGCCACTAAAGGTCTGAACAAAATAAGAGAATTACTGTACCGATGTATGTCATGAAATATTAAAATACCATTTTAAGCACTCTTCTGTTAATGGATAATTTATTCTTTCATAACATTTTATTTCTGTGATTGCCAACAGGCTTTACCACATCAATATATTTTATTTTAAAATTAATCTTGAAAAGCACCATACCTACATTTGGTTATTTCCTGTGTTTTTCTTAAACCTTTAGCTGAATACACATTTCTTAGGAGCAATAATTCATTGAGAGTAATCATTAAAATCAGTTTCTGCCTGAGATATGCTTTCAAATAACTACTCACTTTTGAATGGCAATTTTGATAAAAAAGACATTTTTAGAAATGAATTGAATGTGGCTCAGACTTCATCTATGCATTTTTAAACATGTCTGTTCCCATTTGCAGAGTTTTGGGGTGGGTTTCTTTAGTAATCTATGTATATTTATTTTTGTTCTTTTAACAAATGTAAAATGGAAAGAATCAGATAACACATCACAGCTTCACCTAGAACTAAGTGGACGCTACTACTATAAAATTTGTATAATAAAAGAAGTCCTTAGCTATGTTACTAATACCACATTAGATTATTAAAACTGAAATGATGCTTACAATGTAATTTACTTTTCACTTTTTGCATTTGTCTCATTTTCTACGTCGCACATAAAATAATTTCATTTCAGCTTAAAGGATTCAGTTCAACAAAGCACATATGCAAATGTTATGTATTTTGCTGAACTAGAATCGTAAATAATTTCTGACAAATTTTACTTCAAAGTTTTTAAACATTAGTAACAATGCTATGCAGGGCTGTCCCTAAGGGGGTGCAGAACCCCCCCCCCCCCCCCCCCCCCCCCCCCCGCCCCTCCCAGCCTCTTCTCTCCCCTTACCTAAGCCTCTCCTTCTCCACCTTCTTGACCCCTCCCCTGAGCTGCAGGAGCCAAGGTATTCACGGTTGCTTAGCACAGGATAGCAGCAGGGGTCCCCTCCCGCTCCCCTGCAGCAGCAGGAAGCCAAGCCAAGCCAAGCCAAGAACTTTGCTTTTTGCTGTTGTGTGAAGAAGAGCACAACGGGCAAAGAGAAGGCAGCAGGACAGAGTGGAGCAGGCTGCCAGGCCACTCCGGCTCTCACCAATGCGCTGAGTGCGGGAGCAGGGGAGTTCGAACCCCTTCTTCTTCCCTACGCCAGGCCCCAAGGTAATCCTCTGTGACCCTTCCATAGGAAATTTAAGGCACCTGCAGCAGGGCCCCCCAAACTGTGGGGCCTGGGGTGGCTGCCACAAACCATCCTATGGACAGGACACCCCAAACCGCAGAACCACAGTGGGATTTGATCCTGGCACAAGCCGGGCTGCCTGCCTAACGAACAGCAGTCCCTGTCTGTGCGGGGTTCCAACTCCCCACTAGGATCCTCCTCTGACCCCTTTGCTGCCTCTAAGAGAGAGGCAGCAAGAGGGGGGGCAGAGACTATGCTGAGGGGAACTGGCTTTTAAGCCGGTTCCCTCCAGCACTGGCTCCTGCTCCCCTCCCCTCTGCTGCCTCTGATATAGAAGCCGTAAGTGGGGAGAAGTGCGAGTAGTCAACTCAACTACCCAGTAAGCCTCGGCTATCGGATAGTTGTCTAATAGACTACTATCTTACATCCCTATCTGTACCCCACCCCCTTGCCGCTAGCTCCCTTCTGCACCCAACCTCAATCACCTATCTCATGCCTCTTTCATTAATATCATGGATGAGTGCAGCCCTTGACCACTTACCAAATTCTTGGAGTGGTTCCCCACCCCTGAGCTGAAATCTAATCCAAGCAAGCTTGATCTATTGGAGTAGGCATGCCAAACACTCTGTCTCAGGCGGAGGTGAATGAGGAGGACTGAGGGTGGTTTGCCCTTGCACCTCTGTATAGCCTAAGCACAGTGCACAAGGATATGTAGGGCACATGCTTGGGTTAAAATGGGCATTGTTACCTCAAATCTCCATTTGAATGTGCATGCACACTAACTGAAGGAGGGAGTAATACTGGAACAATTTACTGAAGATTTTTGAGGTCACCATATGTCCCTACAAAGCGTCACTGTTTCTGTATCTGCATAAGTAATTGACATTATAACATCTTAATAAGGTTCACAAACCCCTCAATAGTCATTCTGACAAAAACCCAGCGCAGAAAAAGAATACACCACTTGTTAGTGATATTGAAAACCCAATCAAATGAAAATAATTATAGATAAAAAGACAAATCAACCTGATAATGAAAAAAATTAATACAATAAAATTCAACAATCCCTCAACGAAGCATAGAGGGTTCGAATGGAGAATCAGGTCTATAGTTTTTAAAATGTATGCAACGTAAAAGCTGCAATTTATTAATAGATTGTGTAGCCAACGCTACCAACACAATGAAATATCCTGACAGAGATATTTACCAATTGCCTCTGATAAAACATGTTTCCCTTAACTATTTTATATTTAAATTGAGATGAAAGCAGTTTCAACCATATCTTCTAGTAAGCATGAAAATCCTCTTAAATTCACAACATTGAAATAATGTGTAAATATAGTTCTCTCATGGGCCTGCCCTTTTCATAATATCTAATCATCATGCAAAATAAATCAAAAGATAATACAGAAGAATAAAAGGCAATGCTAGAAAAGGTCAGGAGGTGACTTACATTACCAAAACATACAACCTGTGTTATGGAATTGTTAGTAGAGACTCTGTAGCTAAGGCTACATTGAGATTTGCACTAATATCCGTCCTGTTTCATACTTCAGTAACACAGAGTGTAATCTCCAAATTGGCAGAATAATATTTCAGACAGCAACTGAATTTCCATGTAAATCATTTTTTGTTTTTGGAAAAATATTATAAATTGCTAAATTTGCAGATTTAGATTAGAAAACCAAGCTGTTCTAGTAATTACACTGCAAATACACCAATGGGCCAAATCTTGCTCATCTTATTCATGAACATAGTCTTCTTGAGTGCAGGTAAGTAAGGTAAATTGTCATTGACCCATCTTTTCCATCTGATCTAATGTGTCCTAAGATTTATTATACATACCTGTGTATTTTTTCTAATCAGTGTATGGCAGAGATTCTTTGCTCCAGTGTAATTTGGTTTTAGGAGTACAAATTCCGATAATCTCTAGAGTATTTAGGAGAGTAGACTGTTTTCTTAACAGACTTATAAGCCTGCCTCTTTCTCCCCAGCTTCCAAAGTGAGCCAAGTAAAACCTCCATTTCATAACATTTAAAACTTGAACCTTCTTTCCTCTTTACTTACAGAAACATTACTACTCTGATTTCAGTGAGTTACTCCTCATATACACCAGCAAAAGAGGAAAATCAAGTTTTCTAAGGCAATATTTGTACTCCTGAGGCTTGAAAATCCTACTTCTATTGCAGGGCAAATACCACTGATTAGAAGCGAGTTTCTATAAATGACAAACACACTACTCACAGGTGACTTTAAAGGAATCAATATTATGTAGCAATTAAGAAGTGTGTCACGAGACCCAAAAGTGTATGGTTTTAATCACTGGTTTTGATCACCCAAAAGTGTATGGTTTTGATAACCATGTGTAATTTGCACAGCATTACATTTGTTAATCATTCTGCCTAAGAGCTCATTGATATTACAAAACGCAAATACTTTATAAATACAGGGAGTGGCACATATTCTTCATCTGTTAATTGTGTTTTTATATCAAGACACGTCAGAAAATTTACCTTTCTGCCTCCTGTGTTTATACGAAGTGGAGTTAAGAAAGGGTCAAAGATCATATGGCTGGTTTCTATATTGACTGGTGATTGCCTTTTTCCAACAGAGCAGAGATTCCAGGCTGAGTTCACCAATCCCCAAAAGGAAGGAACTATAAAAGGGAGAAAAAAAAAGTTTAAGAAAGTATCTGGAGCGAGGAAGAAAAATCCACACAAAACAGATGTGGAAACAATTAAATAGCTTCTTGTATTGTCTGGACTCACAATATAATCAACACTCAAGAAAATTAATCAAGTAACTGAATTTTAATGCATGATACAGACACTCAAATCTGAGATGAGACATTTTAATATCAACAAAGGAAATTTTCTTTGGCCCCTCTCAAGCTATGTGGAGTTAATCATGCCTCATGTACCTGTAAATAGTTCATCATCATTCATGGTATAGAATGTTTGCTTTTTCTCAACAGGTACTTGAATATCTCATGTCCTTATGCTCATTTTACATGCATACACTGCACTTATTCCTTGGACTGAGGCCAAATATAGCGACTAAGAAAATTAAAACAGGTTTCAATATTTAGTACATGTTGACAATAAGAATAATGTATTAGAAAAAATAGGGACATATCACTATTCCACAGAATATTAATGTTCCATAGAGAAGATTGATTCATCTCTTTTTGGTTCACACAGTTCACATACACTTCCCTATCCTCCCCATTTAAGGCCTTAATTTTTGAAAAGACTAGGTTAGAAACATCAGATCTCATTGGCCAGGATGTGCATAAGATCTCAGACTGGCAGCTTGACCACTTGCTTCCCTTTATTGAGTTTAGGACAACATTCATGAAACCAAAGGCCAGAAGTCACCACTGTGATTGTCTTATTTGACTTCCTGTATAACACAAACCATAAAACTTCCCCAACAATTCCTAGACAGATCTTTTAGGGCTCATCTAGAATACGCTAGAGTGTCAAAAGAGGATATGCAAATTCTGTAGTTTAGATGCAGCTTTGTGGTTGCCCAGGAAGAACATGAGATTCTCCAGTGTGACTAGCATCATGTGGATGACATTCAGCTGTTTCCTTCTCCAATGACTCAGGGCTCATCTAGACTCTGCTAGAATGTCGAAAGAGGATATGCAAATTCCATGAGGTTTATGCTGCTTTTCAACACAAAGTGGGTGAGTTTGCCGAAAAAGCCGCATCTAAACTACTTTCACTTTCAAAAGTGAGATTGGAAGAAGATATGCAAATTCCCACAGAATTTGCATATCCTCTTTCGACACTCTAGCATAGTCTAGATGAGCCCTTAGAAAAATATCCAATCTTGATTTTTAAAATGGTCAGCGATGGAGCTGTGCTGGCCTCCACTTCCCAGAGCTCCCATTGGAAACAGCAGCCCCTAGGAGCTCTGGGGGGCAGGGCTGTGGAAGGTCAACGTCAGACCCTGGGCTCCACACGGCGCTGCTGCTTAGAAAAGCCACGTGCAGCCTGGGGCCAGCTGGGGTGTCCACTGGCTGCCCGCGACATTTCAAAGCGGCAGCACCGCATGGAGCCTGGGATCAGCTAGGGACTCCCTCACTGCCCCCAAGCTCTGTTCAGCACTGCTGCTTTGAAATGCAGCATGGAGCCCGGGCTCAGCAGGTGAGTCTCCAGCTAATCCCGGGCACCACAGGACACTGCTGCTTTGAAGTACCCCCTTGTTTTCCCTCTACCCCTTGCTGCCTCTTTCTGAAAACACAACTCTGCTACCAACTACCTTTGGCATGGGAATCAGAAGACTGAACAAGCACTCTGAGTTTCCAATTCCCTGCAACCAATTCAAGGAAAGAGGATGGCCTATGATTTACAATTTTCTTCCTCAGAAAAGTTTGGCTCAGATGGAAGAAGGCTGTTTATAACTGGTTTGAAAAGTCTGCCCAAATAAGTTTATAATCATACTTTGGCAGGGGTTGGCTCCTTCCTGACTATGAGAACACAGGTGCATCATCCCCCCCCTTGGAAGCATTATTTCTCTCTGCCTTCTCTGTGCCTCCCCAATTTTACATGCCACAGAAGAACTCCTAATTATACTAATGACTGAGGGACCGCTTCAAATGATCAAATTTTACGAAGTAGCAAAATCAGGAACAAAATGTACTTGTACAAAATATATTTTGGAAATTGTAGTTTAGTTTTAAATTAGGTGTCGTGCTTCCTAATTTACTATTAAATGCGCTGTAGCATAATTTCTGGGAAACAAGTGACATTTTAGTACTACAAGGCCTCATTACTCTATTTAAGTTGTCTGGAAGACAGAAAACTCTCATTTTTTCATGCGGGTTATATGCATTCAAGTTTAGCCAAATTCTCATTGATATATGCTAGTAGTATAGCAACTAAAATAAGACTTTTTGCATTACCATGTGCTAATGCAAAATGCATTAGTACTAATGGCGGGACTTCAAACCTATAACTTCAAAGGGTTGGAATATTCATTAGGAGGTTGTAGCTATTGGAATGGCTCCTCAGAATTACTAAGATTTCTGAAAATGAAATGCAGTTGCTAAAGGGATTAAAGACTATACAATGAACACGGTACAATTTTTTACAAGCTTTACAAAAAGGTATTTTATAGATGATGGATAATGCAGTAAAGAACAGCAAGCAAAGTACAGAAGTGGTGGCTTTCATGTTGGCCAATTATTTCAAGAATTAATGATGAACCTAGGAACATCCAGAAAAAAAGAGCATGGAGGCACTATGAAAATGGCTACCATAAGTGCTTATTTTATTATGCTCTTTGTAATTTTGACAGGGCAACCTTGCACCTTATATGCTGCCCGTCACAAAAATGACACCATGCTTTATATTAGTGTGGTGCTCAGCAAAGATTGCGTGCATCACCATGACATTAAATCTGTCTTGCAATTTCTGATTTTTTCTTTACTGCCAAGATGGTTCACTCCTAAGAGCCATACTTATAAATGTATATAGCTGCCTCTATTTCATTTACCATTGCCCTGTCTTCTTTATTTACATTCCCAGGGAATAGAAGGTTGCCCTGGAGTCCTTTCATGAGTACAATGACAGTCTTAACTGAGCAAGTAGTGCTCCTCAAAGGGCAAATCCTCCATTCTGGGTTGTTCTTCACGGGATAAACATAAGAAATGGAGCCAGGACTCCCTGTGCATAATGACAGCAACTGCCATCAATCTACAGCAGTGACTTTCAATCTTCTTTCATTCGCAGACCTCTAAAAAGCTTGGAATGGACAGGCAGACCTCTTCTGACATCTTAGTCTGCGGACCCTTGGGCTCCGCAGACTACAGGTTGTAAACCACTGATCTAGAGGCTGTATTTGTTGCAGCTACTGTAGCTTGCAGAGATGATCTGGCTATCATACTGCCTTCATCAATAAGGGCTTAGAACAGTACACAGTCTTCCTGAGTGTCTGTCCAAAAATTCCAAAAACTTAAGGGTAACTAAGGAAATCATAGTTTGCAAGATGCACCTGATAACAGAACTATAGACTGAAACAAATATTTCTCTCTCTCTGTGGTCCAAGTATTTGGCCTGCTGAAGAGGTACATCTTCTCTGTCTATTCCTTTCTATAGCAGCCTGAACAAGCAGGGAGTTGGGACAGTTGTGTGAAGAAAAACTGCTCTCTGGGGCAGAATAAACTATTTATTTCCCACCCAGTAAGTTGTGAGAGCATTTGATACTGAAGCATGCCACACCACTTTGGCTCACTCTTGGATAGCCTTGTTGCCTACTCTAGCAGGCCTTGTATTCTACAAACCATCCAGGAACCTTTGGAATAATTCTTGGATTTCTTTCAGGGGAATCCAAGGGGTTTTAACAATCCTTCTAAACAACCTCTGAAAGTGTTTGTGATTGTTCAGTGACAAATGTAATGCCGAGGCAATTGTCTTGTCAGGAAAGAGAAGACTAAATGTCTGATAATTTGCCGCTAAATCTGGCTTTTACTTCCTCCTCCCATGGGTTCCAGAGAAAATTCAGGTTGCCTCTCAGTGGAGAGGGATGGTAAGATTCTCACTGAGTAAGTCCACATTAAGGATAATACCTGTATGGTTTCACAGGCCCCAGTATAAACAGTGGGAAGAATCCAGTAGGGGTTTCGATGGACCCCAAGGCATAGAGTACCAGGATTCCCAGGGAGTGAGGTAACCCAGCTTCCATGGCTGGATCAGGCCCCAGAAGATTCTAGAACATCTATCTGTGCTGCTGGCTCTTGGAGGAGAGGACAACTGAGGAAGAAACAACCTGATTAGTAGAGGGAATAGGAGACTGGCTTCTTTCATAATGTTCATGGGCTCAGGGTGTCATGAACACCCTTGTAAGAATTGTTTCTGATCTTGACTCTCTAATCAGTCACTATCTGGCAGGGTGGTGATGTCTTCTAAAGTGTCATATTTGTGGGGTCATTGGGGGTCTTCTCCCTTTAAATCCTCCATGTTCGTGCTGATGATATATGGAATGTCAGTCTGCCCTTTCCTGGTACCATCAGTGTTCCAATTTAAGCTCACAAAGCATTTACTAATTTGATGTTGGAGAATCACGTCTTGGAAAATAGAAGGTTCCATCTCAGACCATAAGATAATAAGAAAGTGCTCGAGATGGTCCATGATTTTTCTTATGCTTTTGGATCAGAGCACAGGCACAGACCAAGAAACTAATACAAAGAATTTTTAGTCTCCGGCACAAGGAACACATGCATATCAGTGGAATGCACAAGGAGAACAGCACTTGAAGAAAGGACTGGGTGGATATTGGAAGGCTAGGTAGCAAAATCTATGACTAGCGCATGTTGTGATGGCATAGTCAGGGTTCCCCCGATCCTGCACCCCTGTAGCAGCCAGAACAGTCTCCACCAGCCAGCAGAATAGAGAAGGGTTTATTGATTTTCCAGAATACAGCACAGCATAGATGTGATATGGCAATAGGAGGGGGGCTAGGATACTCCAGACCCCTTAAGGCGGGGTGCCTGAGGCCCTAGTCTCTAAGCCCCCTCCCTGGGCTGTCTCCATCATGTTTCCAGCCCCAGACAAACTCTTCCTGCCACCACATACTTCCTTTGTTCCAACCTCCTTCCCTCCCCCGAGTCAGAACCAGTCACGGCAGTGTCTAGCTCCCCTGCTGGGC